TTTCAGTTTTAGTTAAAGCTAAAACTAAAGCTGTAAAGCTAAATTGATGCCTAAATGGATAAATGGAAGAATGGATAATTAAAAAATGACTGTTTGTTCAGATGCAAAGTTGGAAAAACATTTTTAAACATTGTTTTTAGGCAACATGATTTTAATGCTTGCAGAATTTTCTCTAGTATCTCAATGCAAGGAACATAAATAAAAAAATGTACACTCTAAAAAATGCTGGGTTAAATACAACCCAGCACTGGGTAAAATGTGGACAAACCCAGGGATTGGGTTGTTTTGACCCAGCGGTTGGGTTACTGCCCAGAAGGTTGAGTTCAACCGTTGGTTGAAAACAACCCAATCCCTGGGTTTGTCCACATTTTACCCAGTGCTGGGTTGTATTTAACCCAGCATTTTTAAGAGTGTATGGACACAGGACTACAACAAATAATAGATATTCACATTAAATTATCTAAGTGCATACTTTATTAAGCGTGTCACTTAGTCATTCATGAGCATACACACACAGCCATAAATACTTGAGTCTATTAGTACCTGCGTCTACTGTAAAGTCGCTTTGACACTCTTTCCAGTCACAGGGCTAAAGAGATCAACTCTTGTTCAGCTCCTCAGATCTGCCCATGCAACACTAGCAAAAAGTAACTAACACGAATGCAATGACACAGTCTATGAGCATGTCTACACGGCACGACACAGACGAACAGCGTGCAAGAGCAGCGGATACAATGGGTGAAACAAACGCAATTAGCTACACAACAGAACAGCAGCTTGGGTAGTGAACAATATAAGCACAAAAGAAACAGTTCTTGTACACAGAACAATGTGCTATTTAATCGTTTGCAAATGCGCATGCCAAGACACGAGCTCTACAGTCGGATCTATTTACATCCAGCACTAACCAAAACTTGCTCAGCAACCTGTGCAGAGACTGGTTATTGTGTGAATGCATGCAATAAGAGCATCATCACCACTTTGTCTGTAACACTGACAGTCATGAAGTCTGGCTGATATGCTAATAATAAATCACAATGCATATTTACTTTTCAGTAGCAAAACAACACCACTGTAGCAAAAAAACATGTTTCTTCATTGTCTTCTGAATAACATTTCACTTGATTTTATTTGAATATTTCGAGAAACTGAATCAACAGGTTTCTCATCTATCAGTGCATTTAATATAGTTTAAATGACCTGCATTTAAGAGTTACTCCCACAGAATTAATATAAGTAAAAGCTTTTCATTCACTCCCCGTTACTGTCTTTTATACATTTACAGTGTAGAGACACAAGAAACTGAGATGTCTATCTTCACTAGTAAATATGAATATGAATCATGGGTGCTTCCCCAATCATCTCACGGATCTGTTAGGTGGGACATAGCGAGGGGTTACACTGTCTGAAATGGCCTGGCTCCTATTGGTCTCAGCTTGTAAACAGAATGAAAGAAACTTGGAAACCACTGGTGCTCCCTGATGAGCTGCCACTCAGGTGACTCTTCGCCCACACCGGCTCCTCTTGGATCCGGTCTGCTTCTGCTTCTCATTTCTTGTTCTTGAGCTGGTTGGCCAACCAGTCCAGACCCTCATATAGACCATCTCCGCTGGTGGCACAAGTGGCCTGGATGTACCAGTTACGATGGCGCAGGGAGTGGAGACCCAGCTTATCTGTGATTTCTGCAGCATTCATGGCATTTGGCAGATCCTGGAGAGTGAGAGAGAAACAGACACAACTACATATCTTACTATTTATATACATATGGCATGCACTCATCATAGAAGATTTCCCATAGTTCATGAGCTCATTTTCCTGGAACCAGTGTCTAGAATCCCTGCATACACTGAAAAGCCTCCATTTCTCTTGAGATCTTTTACAGATTCAGTGTTGGGAGCATCATGACCTACTGCTTCTCACTAAGATACGGCAGCTGCACATCATCAGATCAGAGAGAGACCTTCAGCGGGTGGTCAAAACTGCTCAACACATCAGTGGCAGACCTCAACAACCACTGCTGGCAATGAGTTCTCCAAATCATCAGAGAGCCCATCCAGCCCAAAAATAGCCTGCTTTCACCTCTGCCATCTGGAAGACGAGGCAAACACATACAGGCCATACAGAGTGAGGGAAATTTTCTATCTTACAAACGTGAGCTCTGATCATTCCTCAGCATCTACAGTAATCCCTTGTAACTAACGAACTACAACCATACATAATGTTACAGCAGCTATGTTTCCATCTTCAACAAATCGACACATACATTACAGAAACTGAGGCACATACTAGGGCTGCTTTAAAATGGGTAGACGGCAGATGCAATGCTAACATCAATGAACTGTTTCTGATTTGAAGAAAAAAACAAAAGAACACGGAAGCTCTTGCCTGCTTGTTGGCAAAGACAAGGAGTACAGCGTCTCTCAGTTCATCCTCAGCCAGCATCCTCATCAGCTCTTCTCTGGCTTCATTCACTCGCTCACGGTCATTGCTGTCCACCACGAAGATCAGACCTTCAAAATACATTGGAAATTATGTGAAATGTGGTTATAGAAAGTTAGTGATTAATAACAGGAAAAAATAAAGACCCTTGTGGACCCCAATATGAGATCTTAATTCTAATTTCATTGCAAAATTAATAAGATGCATTAAAGATCAAATGATAAAACTTGAGAAGTACTGTTTTCTTTGTTTCCGTGTTGATGTATTTCCTATTGAAACAGGTTTGGGGTCAGTACATTGTTTTAAGGAATTCATATTTTTAATCAACAGGGACACCTTACATTGATTAAAAGTGACAGTAAATATATTTATAATATTACAAATGGTTTCTGTTTCAAATAAATGCTGTTCCTGTAAACTTTCTGTTCATCAAAGAATCCTGAAAAAATGTATCACCGTTTCCACAAAAATGATAAGCAGCACAACTGTTTTCAACGTTGATGATAATAAGAAATGTTTCTTGAGAACCAAATCAGCATGTTAGAATGATTTCTGAAGGATCACGAGATGTGGAGTAATGGCTGTTGAAAATTCAGCTTTACCATCGCAGGAATAAATTACATTTTTAAATGTATTACAATAGAAAACAGCTATTTTAAATTGTAATAATATTTTACAATTTTACTTATTTTACTGTAATTTTGATAAAATAAATGGAACCTTGGTGAGAATGAGATTTTTCTAAAAAAAAATAAATAAAAAATATACCAACCCCAAACTTTAGAAAGATTTCCTTTTGAAATACCAGTAGGGTTTAGTTGATGTCACATCCGTTGGCTATTCATCGTGGCTCTGTCTGATACAAAATCCTGTTTGTGTTTTTAGAGTGTGTATGTGTGTGTACGAGTCCTCTTCTCACCTTGTGTGTTCTGGAAGTAGTGACGCCACAGAGGTCGGATTTTGTCCTGGCCACCAACATCCCACACTGTAAAACTGATATTTTTGTACTCAACAGTCTCCACATTAAAACCTAGTAACAAGAAAACACAATGGCACAGAAATTACACCACTTATGAGACCAGACTCGTAAAACATGACATCAAGACCTTTGTCTCTATTTAAGAGGGAAATAATACAATAATAATCAAGGGATTAAACATTTAAAGTCTAAAAATGTGCTTCACCAATAGTAGGAATGGTAGTCACTATCTCTCCCAGCTTCAGTTTGTACAAAATTGTGGTCTTCCCCGCTGCATCCAGCCCGACCATCAAAATCCGCATCTCCTTTTTTCCAATGAGGCTCTTCAAAAGGTTGCCAAAAATGTTCCCCATGATAGTTGGTTAGCCTTTACTAATATAAAAAGAGAACATCTATGGTCATTTGTTTTTTTAAATTGACACACGCAACTGTTATACCTCCAATTAAAACACTCACCCTTTCAAAAAGAGCACTTGCTACAACATTGTACTCTCTGTAATTCATTACAAATATGCCAATGTTCCTCTTTTTAAATCTTCTAGAAACCCTTCTGGAATTTTAATGATTAAATACATCTATGATCTTTACAGCCTGTGGCTGGACAAAATCAAAAAATATAATATTTCTTTCACAGAAAGCACCACATTTCAGAGTAGGCTACATGAATCATCAGGTGAGTAAATACTGCCAGAATTTAATTTTTTAACGCAGCAGTACAGAAAAACAATATGCACACTTTACTAATAAAGCTTACTTTGCATTGGGAAAATATAGAAGATACGACAACCTGCAAACAAATGTAATCCTTAAAAAGAGCCAAAGCACATGGACATATCAGTGATATCATGTTAATGTAAGGTCATCTTGATCTAGCCGTACAGTGAGAGTGCTAGTCTGCAAATGCATCTCAGATGATTCATAACTGTCATCATGCACTGATTAAATAAATGTGTACAGAACATTTGAGTCAAGAACAATATACTTACACACACACACAAATCAGTCAGTAATATAAAATACAAATCTACTGGAATACCCAGTCCAGTATGATGATTGCTTTCCAAAATACAAAATTTAAAACACCTATATTAGAATAACTAATGAAGTATTTCTTTCTTTTAGGTGTTGACTGACAGAATTAGATGTGTCCGACAGATTCATGAGATGTGACTCTTTTAATGTGTCTGTAAGGAAGAAAGATTCCTCATCCTCCATAAAATGGTATGCAAATGAAAGAAAATCTGAGACTGTTGATTTGTATCAATTTAAATCCAACAGAAATGCCTTATGATAAACCGGCGCATGTCACATCAGGCAGTGATACTGTTTAAACGTCTAACACCTTTTATTTTTGTCACGACGTAGAGATACCATCCTATAGCAGCAAGGGCCTGCATATTGACAAATTATAAATTGCTCCGCTATTTAATATCAATAACATTTAACATATATCAACACACCAACAATGTCTACACCATATTTTTTCACGCTTTGCAACATCCCTACTCACCTCGGAGACCAACAACCGGATAATTTCAAGTCACTCCGCTCTCGCGATACCAGCGGAATAGGCAGGAGAGTGTTAAAGATCTCGCGATACCAGCCAGTCCAGACCCTCATATAAACCGTCTCCACTGGTGGCACAAGTGGCCTGGATGTACCAGTTGCGATGGCGCAGGGAGTGGAGACCCAGCTTATCTGTGATTTCTGCAGCATTCATGGCATTTGGCAGATCCTGGAGAGTGAGAGAGAAACAGACACAACTACATATCTTACTATTTATATACATATGGCATGCACTCATCATAGAAGATTTCCCATAGTTCATGAGCTCATTTTCCTGGAACCAGTGTCTAGAATCCCTGCATACACTGAAAAGCCTCCATTTCTCTTGAGATCTTTTACAGATTCAGTGTTGGGAGCATCATGACCTACTGCTTCTCACTAAGATACGGCAGCTGCACATCATCAGATCAGAGAGAGACCTTCAGCGGGTGGTCAAAACTGCTCAACACATCAGTGGCAGACCTCAACAACCACTGCTGGCAATGAGTTCTCCAAATCATCAGAGAGCCCATCCAGCCCAAAAATAGCCTGCTTTCACCTCTGCCATCTGGAAGACGAGGCAAACACATACAGGCCATACAGAGTGAGGGAAATTTTCTATCTTACAAACGTGAGCTCTGATCATTCCTCAGCATCTACAGTAATCCCTTGTAACTAACGAACTACAACCATACATAATGTTACAGCAGCTATGTTTCCATCTTCAACAAATCGACACATACATTACAGAAACTGAGGCACATACTAGGGCTGCTTTAAAATGGGTAGACGGCAGATGCAATGCTAACATCAATGAACTGTTTCTGATTTGAAGAAAAAAACAAAAGAACACGGAAGCTCTTGCCTGCTTGTTGGCAAAGACAAGGAGTACAGCGTCTCTCAGTTCATCCTCAGCCAGCATCCTCATCAGCTCTTCTCTGGCTTCATTCACTCGCTCACGGTCATTGCTGTCCACCACAAAGATGAGACCTTCAAAATACATTGGAAATTATGTGAAATGTGGTTATAGAAAGTTAGTGATTAATAACAGGAAAAAATAAAGACCCTTGTGGACCCCAATATGAGATCTTAATTCTAATTTCATTGCAAAATTAATAAGATGCATTAAAGATCAAATGATAAAACTTGAGAAGTACTGTTTTCTTTGTTTCCGTGTTGATGTATTTCCTATTGAAACAGGTTTGGGGTCAGTACATTGTTTTAAGGAATTCATATTTTTAATCAACAGGGACACCTTACATTGATTAAAAGTGACAGTAAATATATTTATAATATTACAAATGGTTTCTGTTTCAAATAAATGCTGTTCCTGTAAACTTTCTGTTCATCAAAGAATCCTGAAAAAATGTATCACCGTTTCCACAAAAATGATAAGCAGCACAACTGTTTTCAACGTTGATGATAATAAGAAATGTTTCTTGAGAACCAAATCAGCATGTTAGAATGATTTCTGAAGGATCACGAGATGTGGAGTAATGGCTGTTGAAAATTCAGCTTTACCATCGCAGGAATAAATTACATTTTTAAATGTATTACAATAGAAAACAGCTATTTTAAATTGTAATAATATTTTACAATTTTACTTATTTTACTGTAATTTTGATAAAATAAATGGAACCTTGGTGAGAATGAGATTTTTCTAAAAAAAAATAAATAAAAAATATACCAACCCCAAACTTTAGAAAGATTTCCTTTTGAAATACCAGTAGGGTTTAGTTGATGTCACATCCGTTGGCTATTCATCGTGGCTCTGTCTGATACAAAATCCTGTTTGTGTTTTTAGAGTGTGTATGTGTGTGTACGAGTCCTCTTCTCACCTTGTGTGTTCTGGAAGTAGTGACGCCACAGAGGTCGGATTTTGTCCTGGCCACCAACATCCCACACTGTAAAACTGATATTTTTGTACTCAACAGTCTCCACGTTAAAACCTAATAACAAGAAAACAAAATGGCACACAAATTACACAGTGGCCAGACTCTTAAAACATGACATCAATGCCTTTGTCTCTTTACAAGAGGAAAATAATACAATAATAACCAAGCAATTCAACACTTTAAGTCTAAAAGTGTGCTTCACCAATAGTAGGAATGGTAGTCACTATCTCTCCCAGCTTCAGTTTGTACAAAATTGTGGTCTTCCCCGCTGCATCCAGCCCGACCATCAAAATCCGCATCTCCTTTTTTCCAATGAGGCTCTTCAAAAGGTTGCCAAAAATGTTCCCCATGATAGCTGGTTAGCCTTTACCAACATCAAAAGAGAAAATCTATGGTCAGTTTCTTTTAATTGACACAATTGCAACTGTCATACCTCCAGTTAAAACACTGGCCCTTTCAAAAAGAATACTTGCTACCACATTGTACTCCCTTATCTCCATCTAATTCATTACAAATATGCCAATGTTCCTCTTTTAAATCTTCTAGAAAGCCTTCTGCAATTTTAATGATTAATACATCTATGATCTTTAACCATGGCTGGACAAAATCAAAAAATATATTTCTTTCACAGAAAGCAACACATTCAGAGTAAATTAAAAATCAGGTGAGTAAATAGTTACAGAATTTTCATTTATAACATAGCAGTACACTAAAACGATATGCACACTTTACTAATAAAGCTTACTTTGCGTTTGGAAAACTATAGAAGTTACTAGAACCTGAAAAAAATCCTTAAAAACAGAACCAGAGCACATGAACATATCAATGATATCATGTTAATGTAAAGTCAACTTGAACTAGCCGTACAGTGAGAGTGCTTGTCTGCAAATTCATAATGATAATAGTGATGATTCATAACTGTCATCATGCACTGACTAAATAAATGCGTACATAACACTGAGTTAAGAACAATACATATAGGGGAAGTCGTGCC